GGAGACCCCGGGCATCACACGCGCGTAGGTCACCGTGTGCCCGATTCAAAGCCCCCCCCCCCCCCAAGCATCGAATGTTGAAAGAAAGAAAAACCAAAAAATATTTATTTGCAAATAAATTATTAAAACAAGCTGCCAAGCCGGGCGTTCGGCGCTTTGTGCGCGACAAAGTACTCGACACGCCCGAACAATGAAAGCGATTTACAGGAGTTGCGTCTCATCGCTGAAACGACGATACCTACCTGAGCACCGTTTTGGTCAGCGATCGGTGTCGACGTTTGGTCGCTTATTGTGAAGGTGCAAAGTGTGCTTTAGACGGTGGGTCGGATGAAATTACATGTTTTTGGTGCGTATCAATGAGTTCCTCCATTGTACATTACGCAGGCCTTTATCATTCCACTGCTGTATGAAAGCCGTGAGATCATGGCCGGGCAGCGTGCGTCCACGTCCGTGGGGAGCCGAGAGGCTGGGACCTTCTCCAGTCTCACGGTGGTGGGGGAACTCGTCTGTGGAGGAGGAGGAGTGTCATCTCGGAATGCTTACGTTAAGAAATGTGTCTCCCTGGGTTTGTGCGACATCGGCACGGGATGTAACGACGCATCGACGAATGAGTCATTGGGCTCACAATGCATCCGTCGGGTTCTACGCGTGAGGATCAATGTTACATATTTGTATATTATTTTCAACGAATTGACGTGACCCCCTCCAGCCACTACATTCGATGGCAACGTTCAACAAAAGTGATTCTTCAACCACAGCATATATAGCCAACCGATTGGCACGGTTGGCTACGTACGGCGCGTAAGAAGTTCAACATACATACACATGCGTACATACGCACCACCAAACTGACGACGGTCCACCGATTTTTGTCGTTTGAGAATCGTGACGCAGACGACGGCGATCCTCTGCGTCACTGAACCCACGAGTCGCTCAAACAGCTCCCTCTCCCCACCTCCACGCTCCGTGCTATCGCTGCGGAGAGGGAAACGCTCCCGGCCCCGCAGGACGTGATGACAATTATCCAACGGCAGTCACCTCCCACCCAACCCCCTAAAAAATGAGAACGGCGTCTGCCGTGCCAAGTTTGACGAAGGTGACGGGACGCGCGCGACAGCGCGTGTGTGTGCGTGTGTGTGTGTCCGCGTTTGTGTGTGTCCGCGTGTGTGTGTGTGTCCGCGTTTGTGTGTGTCCGCGTGTGTGTGTGTGCGCGCGCGTGTGTGTGTCCGCATGTGTGTGTGCGCGCGTGTGTGTGTGTGTGCGCGTGTGGAGCGGTAGTGTAGCGGTTAGCTCGCTGCTCTACGAACCTGGCGACGTGCGTTCGATTCCCGCTCACGGCCAACACCAGTGACGATTATCTGAACCGGTCCTTGGGCCTCCCCTAGGTCGATTCAGCCTCAAATGAGTACATGGTGCGGTGTGTGAAAACATCGCCACTGGGGAGACAAAGGCGGCCAGGCGTGGTGTTGGCCACCCACCCAATTCGTGTGCCGTAGTACCGGTCTTCGTAGGTGCTCGCTAACAGCACTTGCCCCAACGGTCTGTTTAGGTTATACGGGGGATCTTTGTCTTTGTTGTGAGTATGGTTCTCATTTGTGCTGGACGCAGGGCCGGATTAAGACACGGGGCTTTAGTGGCTGCAGCCGAGGGGCGTCCGCCAGCTGGAGGGCCTCCAGAGATTAAGTGAAAAGTTATTTCATTTGTGAATCCTGAATTTTATTTGTTGTTAGCCTTGTACAAGTAAATTTTATTTTTTCTTTAACTTTGTTTTCATTTTTGAAAATATTACTGGGGGCCTCACAGTACCTGTAACCCAGTGGCCTACACAATCTTAATCCGGCCACGCCTGGACGAGTGTTCGTATGGAACTCCCGGCTGGACCGGGTCGTCTCAGGCGCAGCGGCAGCAGCAGTCGAGTGAAAATATCTCGAGTGAACCTCTTTTGTAAACCTCGTTAATAACGCAGGGCGTCTTACATGCAGCACTGCGTTGGCAATCCGCGCTGTGTTGCTTGCCTGCTGATGCGAATCGCATGTTTTTCAAATGTATTGCAATTACATTTTGGCGAATAATAGTGTCATTATTTACAGCCCTTTGTCGATCCACTGATGGATGATGGCCTCTTGCACCCTGTGCGAGTTGTGGCGATTGTCTGACCATACTTCACCACGCTGGTTTTTAGATCGGTGATGCCGCTTACGGCAGCCGGGACCGGTTCAGACATCACTCGCCACTGATGTTACCCGTGGTCTGAAATAGAAGCCGGGAATCTATCTTCAAAGCGCAGCGCGCTAACCTCTGCGCCACCGCTCCGCGCTGCGTTGCTATGCCGACCGGTGCGTGAACAACAAAAAAACCCCACACATATTGTTTGCGCTTTCCAGCAACCGTTGAAGGAAGAAAATTTGAAAAGTGAAAGAACCGAACGTGGCCACGTTAGGGTCGGAGAGAGGGGGGGGGGATGGAGCGAGTGTGGGAGTCGCGCGTGGCGTGTGGTGGTGCCGCGAGAGGGGAGCTGCTCACAGACCCAGCGCCAAGCTATCTCTCGCAGACCCAGATTACACACCGCTCTGCGCCAACGGGGACTGCCTCTCCGGGGGGGGGGGGGGGTAATAGCTCAACTTCAAATGGCTCCCCACCCCCGATCCCCACACCCAGAAATCTCGACCAAGCCGCGCCATATGTCCTCGGATAGAATAGCTCGGAGCCGGCGCAAGGCAGCTACTCGGAGACCCGAGGGGTTCGGAGGTGATGGGCACTTTAACTCCACGATTTGTGAGTTAGGATCCCAAACTATCAGACGGCCTTAGGCTCCGGTAAGCCCTTAATCCCGATTCTCGTCTGTAGGCCGTGCCCGGAGAGTGAGCGGAGCTTTGCATTGTACGTAGCTTAGCCGAAGGTCTCCCGTAGTCTCGTTATTGTTATGCGCCATGATCTATCTACTGCTGGATGAAGGTCTCTGCGATCCGTAGCCCTCCATCGTGATTCCTGCGATGCCACGATCCATCTCACTCCTGCACGAGCGGATCTAGCGGCTCCGTCTCCAGGAGGTCGCCCACTCGAGCGCGTTGTATCCATCGGCTGCCATTCCGTCGCCAGATTCCCGCATCCAGCCGTCATTCCTCCTCGTGTCGCGTCCTGTCCGAGGCGAAGATGCCTCTGATTGTGCGTTTTTTTTTACCTGATTGACATCTCACTCGATCTGTCTCTCGGTGACTCTTCCAAGCGTGCACTTCTCCACGCTTTTCTCCGTGCTCGTGAGACTTTCTTTATTCTTCCACATTGTCTGCCAGTGCCCATGTTTGGGATGCGACACGCGCGGACTGTGAGCGCTCTTCCCTGGCCAAGTTGAGATGCCGCTTGTCAGCGTTGAAGTCGGCTTTCTGGAATCCCTAAAGCCCTTCTCTTGTTCTCTCTCTCTATCCGTTCATTCGAATCCCCATGCGCCATCAGTAATCGCCCGAGGTACACCTCTCCTCTGGGGCGTTGTCCAGTCGCGTCCCTCCCGTCAATTATTGAATCGGGTTTCCCAAACCCATTTCAGTGCGTGACTTTCGTTTTTACTCCGGTATCGCCTTGCCTACGAGACACAATAACTACTCGCAACACCAGCGCCGTCGTCGTTGTCATCAGCGGCGGCTGCCCCGAAAGCTCAGCCCCCTCCTTCTAAATTCTTACCGTCAAGTAAGACAAATGTTGTTACGATATTGAGCCGGTGGTGTTTCCTATTGGAAGTTTGCCAGCTCTGCACAACACCTGTAGCCACACTTGACTTGTGCTTCGTGATTAGTTGCTGCTGGCTTAGATCATCGACGAGGTGGAATGCCAATGTTCAGCTCTACACCTCTGCCATCTGGGAGAGAGCCAATCGAATCAAGCTTTCACGTGGGGGCAAACAGAGCCCATTGGTTTGGTCGAAAATGTTGCTCTTTTCAACATACACCGGGTTTGCTGGAAAAAAACAAACCAATCTGGCGCATTTGCCCATGGGGGTGACAACTCGCTTTGACTTGCTCTGTCGCCGGGTGGCGGAGAGTTACTGCCCAGAATTGGCACCACGTCCTCACACGACGGTCGGACCCACAATCAGGGCAACTATGACGAATGCGAACGTTGCTCGTGACACGCGCAGGGGCGAGCGCCAAAGCAGAATGCACGACAGAGAACAGCGGAGCGGATCGCCGCTCGTTCTGTTCAGCCCGTTTGACGTTGGTCTAACGTTGAGCGAACGTTCGCTGTGTCGTGCCGCCCCCCCTCCACCAGCCCCACCTCGTTAAATAGCCGCACACTACAGGGCTGGCAATAGGCAGGAGCAATGAGGCCAGCAACAAACAGCACCGTTAAACGTGCAATATGTACGGGTATACAGACACGTTCCTTGATTTGAGAGTGGCTGTTGCGAGATCTTGGGGAGAAGAGACGATGGGAGGGATTCCTGTGTGGAGCTGTGCGAGGGCACAAGCAGCAAGAGAAGCATTGTCACCATCAGTGTGGCGGTGGTGGAACACGGTGAGTGGGTGGGTGAGGGAGTGAATTAGTGGGTGGGTGAGTGCGTGCGTGCTTGAATGCGTTGTGGTGTTGCTGTGTGGTGTTGCTGGTGGTTGAACACGGAGTACGGGACGAGACTGAACAAGCAGTGCCTGATAGACGGGGTCCTCAACACCGGTGGAGGAATCAACGAGCGAACTTCAGTGGAACATTATTGACCAGGGCGAGTAGTCGCAGTCGTGTCAGCGATAGGCGAGCCGGTGAGCGAGTGGCTCGAGCCGATCAGTGCGTTTCCATCGGAGACGGGTCGGTGTTGGCCTCCGCGAAACGCGAGGCTCGATCGGCGGAGTGTTCCCCCCTCCCCTCCCCTCCGGCGTCGGCGAGATTCGATCGCCCGCTGCCCGCCAGCCGCCACCGCCGCCGCTCGGAAGCCTTCCGATCGTCGATAACCACGGAGCGTTCGCCCCTCCGGGCGTGAAGTGGCCAAACTCACAATGCGCTTTGTTTTCCAGGGGGCCGCTCGACGCCGCCACCGCTACTGCCACGCGAGACGCCGCCCCACGGACTTGGGCTCGATTCCACGAGCGGCATTGTTTCCCGACGACGCCGGCTGCCTGCTGGAGTGGGCGGCTCCACGTACGGGGGCCTCCGCGGGAGCTCTTCGCGTAACTGCTCGGCTCGCCCGGGTGCCTCGGAAGGCGTCCGGGGAGAAATGTTTAGAGGGCTCTGCCTACGCCGTGGCGGCGTGGATCGGGCGGCGTGAGGCGGGCGTCGGTTCGAGGGGATCGTCGTTGGAGGTTTGGCAGCGGCAAGCCCGTGTGTCGCGGTGTCGTAGTGTTATCGTCGTCGTTTGTTTAAGCCGTGGACAACTTTAATCGCTGAGGATTCGTCTTTGTTGTGTTTTGGTTTGGAAAATCAAGAGAATGAAGAAAATCAGGGAACTTTCAAACGCCAAATGAAATTGCTGCCGCTTATTTTTTTGAAGAATCAAAGACAAACATCATCATAATACGTCATTACAAAATCTCATATTAAAACAACAACCCACACACGCACGTTCGTACGGAGGCCACGGGGAACCCAAAGTCCGACTCTGCGCTATTTGAACGGGCGACAAGCGGGCGAGCCCCGATGGCCGCCAACAACGGCTCGGAGGCCCTGTCTCCGAGGTCGGATGGCTCGGATGGCGGGCAATTCGGCTGCTCCCTCATGGAGCTGCGCTCCCTCATGGAGCTCCGCGGTGAGACCGCCCTCCACGACATCCAGCAGAAGTACACGGACGTGCCGGGGCTGTGCCGCCGTCTCAAGACCTCGCCCACCGATGGTACGTGCCGCTCACGGAGGTGACCCCGTGGCTCGCGAGTGCTGCTGAGACCCTGGGGTTCAATCCGAGTTTCAGTCGCCCGTTCGTGGTCCCGGCACGCTCGCCGACGAACAACAACAAAAACAAATTCCGTCGCATCAACTTCGGTGCCGAGCTTCATTTGGCTGAATTCTAGCTCTGAAAATGACACGTTGGTGCGGTTGCCGTGCGAATAACATTACTCTCTGTGGGTCAGAGGTCACTTGAAGGGATCTCAGAGGTAGCTCTGCGATATCCGATTCCGCGGGCCGCTCGCTAACACGACGGCTCGCACTGCACTACGATACCTCCTAATGGGTGCTTTCATTTCGTAACGTGATGCCGATAGCGTAGTGGGGATGACATCGGGAATATGACCAACGTTAATAAAAAAAAAACATCAGCCGTGGCCTACAGTGTTGCGTCTCTTCTGCCACATCGCTTCGTTGTCGCCCAGGAAAGGGGGCCAGATAGACCAGCAGTTGTTGCATTTTATACCTCCAGTAATAGTCAAAATTCTAATAATGTCCTTTGTTTATCCAAGGAAGCCTCGCTGAGCGCCATGCAGTGTAATAGGATTTGGAGAGCGTCGAAATGCGACTGCATCTCCCGCATCATACGGGAAAAAAAAGAGGAAGCATCTTTCAGGAGAGAGAGAGACAGTAATGGGCAGCAGAGAAAAGAGGAAGGCCCTCACTGGAAAATTATAGAGCAGACTGTCATTTCTGGCAGTGGGCCGCCTTAACGGGAGTCGAAGGTCAAAGCAGTTTGCCGTTCAGTTGAGCCTGGCAGAGCACCCGTCTCCTGTTTGCAGCCATCAACCGGTGGTGGAAATTCCACATTCCTTTGGTGGGGGTGAGTTTATCCACAGGACAAGTGTTTCTGGCTTCTCAACCCCAGAAGGACGAGGGAAAGGCAAACTGTCGAGGCGGAATGGTTCACGCAATCCAGCTGCCTCCGGTCCGAGCTGCTGATTAATCGTGGGCGGCCAAAACCTGAATTGGCACCCTGGATCCCAGCGGTGTTGGGCTCAGTGCTGTGACCTCTGAACCACGACATCAGCACACACTCTATTTTATGAAAAATATCTACATGTCGTGCTTATCCCTTAATTTTTCCTTTCATCCCAGCTCATCCCATGTTAGTGCGCAACGCCGGATTACTTTGTGCGCCTGATGCATCTCTTTTTTGAAACGGATTTTTGGCGATTTAATTCTGCCCTCTGTATCTCTGCATTCAGACGGAGTTTCAATGTGGGGTCTCCCCTGGGTTTTTATAATGCAAATCGTGACGACAATAAATACCGCTGTGGTGTAAAACTTGAGCGCGCTGGACTTGCAATCCAGATGTCTCCCGGCAGTCGAAACAACGGAGAACGTTTCTCGAATCCCCCCTCCGTGTGGTGGGGTAAAGTGTGGGTACTCCCACCTCTTCCAAGACGTACTGGCCAGCGTGGAAGAGGAGGCCAAGTACCCACTAGAGGGGCTCCCTGTCGTGGCGGCCCATTCCGCCAGCTATGGCGTGAGCAAGCACTTGCGGGGCTGCTCCTCCGCGTTCTCGGTCTTGAAGCGTCCTGCTTGAATCGACGGAATTGGCTCTGCCCGTCGTGTTTACTACTGTGCGCACCGCCTCACCCCACGCCACCACTCCATGCCATAACCCCGCTCCTCCGCATCGTGGCACCTCTCTGTGACATTGTCTCATCACGAAGTGCCATCACCCCATGCCACCTCGTCGCGCCTCCACCCCGTGCCATCATCCCCGTCCGTGCCAACATCTCATCACGACACTCTACCTCCCAATGCCACCACCCCTTGCCACCACCCCGTGCCACCGACTCATCACGAACCCCTCCCCTTCCGCCCCCCGGTGCCGTCGTGCCGTTGCTGCTGCGGCGGCCAGGGCTGAGCGACAGCGTGAGCGACCTGGAGAGGAGGAGGCAGGCGTTCGGCAGGAACGTCATCCCCCCGCAGAAGGCCAAGTCCTTCCTGGAGCTCGTGTGGGAGGCCCTGCAGGACGTGACGCTCATCATCCTGGAGATCGCCGCCATCGTCTCCCTGGGCCTCTCCTTCTACCGGCCGCCCGAAGAGAGCAGCGATGGTAACGTCGTCGCGTCCGCACGGCCCCTGCGCGTGCAGCCGCGTCGCCACCGAGCCTTTCGCTTCGTCAACAAACGGACGATCGCCTCCAACCATTTCGGAATCGCCAGAATCTTTATTTATCCTGGAGGAATCCGATGAGCTACGAAGCTCTATTTCACGGACGGTCAGGCAGGTTTTTAAGGGGACGTCCTGGAAGGGAGGCAAAAAAAACGAAACTTTGATAACTCGCACGAAATCTCATTGCTGCGCAGAACGCGAGGCGTTTGGTGACAGCAGGCGGATTGAACGGAAAAAAGTGAATCGTTTAAGTTCACTGTGCGGCCATCTATAGGGAGATGATACAGTGACAACGATCAACAATGGGATTGTAAAGTGTTCCAACGAAGGCCCTCCTGGGGTCTCTCATCACCAGCTTTGCGCGTTCTTTCACCCAGAGTGCGCCAGGGTCTCTTGAGCTAAGCAGGTGTGAGCCTGGATTCGCCGTTGCGTCATAGAAGAGGTTGTCAAGCGGCTCCGTGGGACTATGTTGTAGGGGGCAGAGGGTGGTGCAGGAATCTCCAACCGGCACTGACCGAAGTGGTGAAGCATGCTCAAATAATCCCCATGACCTGCACGGGTTGGGGAGGCCCTCATCCAGCAGTGGAGTGACAAAAGGCCGTCCAAGTACACAACGCATTCAGATGTTTCTTTACGCGCCCTGACCGAGTTTTGAAAGCGTTAACGTGTTTAGCTCCGTCCGGCTGTGTGTAAACTTGATGCAATATAAAGAACATTTTAGCAGGGAGTCGTATTGCTATTTGGGACTTATGAAGGTGGTGGGCACGGCACACGAGGGAGTGGGTGGCCAGCACCATGCCCGGCCGCCTTTGTCTCGCTCCCAGTGGCGATGTTTAAACACCACACCGGATACTGAATTGAGTCTGAGTCGACCTAGCGGATGGCCCGAGACCGGCTCAGGTAACTGGCATTAAGCGTGAGCGGGAATCGAACCCGGGTCACCGGTGATCGTAGCGCAGCGCCAAAACCGCCACTGCTACCGCTCCCCACTACGCAGACAGACGGACACACGTGCGCGCGGGCGATCGTTCTTCCTCGTCGTGGCCGACACGCGCACACGCACGTCCCGCAGAGTGCGGCATGCTGGCGGGCGGCGGCGGCGGCGACGACGGCGAGGCGGAGGCCGGCTGGATCGAGGGCGTCGCCATCCTCTTCTCGGTGGCCGTCGTGGTGCTCGTCACGGCCTTCAACGACTGGAGCAAGGAGCGCCAGTTCCGCGGCCTCCAGAACCGCATTGAGCAGGAGCAGAAGTTCGCCGTGGTGCGCAACGGCCAGGTCGTGCAGATCCCCGTCGCCGAGATATCCGTCGGCGACGTGGCCCAGGTCAAGTACGGTGAGTTGGGGTCCCCTGGGTAGTGGAAGGGGGTTGGGAGGGGGGGGGGGGGGCTGGACGCACGACCGACTGCCCAGCGGTTGCGCTTTTCCGATCCCTTCGTCAATATTGCTGGACTCTCTCGACCAGAGAGAGCGCGACGGCTGTATGTTGATCGACTGCTGGATGGCGGCCTCCTCTTCCGCGCGGTGTCGTTCATCGGCGTTCCGCGGTCGCTCTTCCCCACGCCGATCAGCGCCGGTTGGCGATCGGTTCAGATGGCGCTCAACTCTGATGTTAGCCACGGCTGGGAATCAATCTTGGCTCCCCAGGTTGATTGCAATGCCGTGCTTCGAGCTTGGCCATCACTCCGCCCCGACTGGTGGCAGTTATTGAAGATGGATTGTGATCTGATGGACGAAATAGTGAGGTAAACGGCATTAGGGTGGCGCGCCTTTGGGAACCTGAGATTGATGAGCACAGCAGCCGACCGATGTGGCTAGAGGAAAAAGTTTCCAATCATTGCGCATCGCTCGCTCTGACATGTGGATCATGGCGCCATGCTGCTGGCGAGATGTTAACTACCTCGCCTGGGATACAGGAGATCGTGGGTTTGACTCTGATGCCTCTATATATTTGGAGTTTGCATGTTCTCCCCGTGGTCGCGTGGATTTTTATCCGGCTCCCCGTTTTTATCCGGCCCCCCCATTGAGAGCATTTGGCTGCTATGCATTTTCACGTGACAAGCCACTTCGTTGAGCTATCATTTGTGGCCAGGTCGCTTCAGAAAAAAGAGCTAAAGAGCTCAGTGGGGCTCACCTGGTAAAATAAAAATAGCTTTAAAAAAAAATAGAAACATGACAGACTTGAGCCCGCTGCTCGTGGGAACTTGGCGACTGTTTAACACTGAAGGATCTTTAGGAAACCGGCTATCGCGTTTGGCACCAAGCACGTTCGGGCGAGCGCGGAAATCATGAATCCTCCCGCCTCCCAACGAGGGGACACGCGGCGACGCGTCAAGCACCGGCACGGACGACGTCGGTGAGCTGCGCCTTTCTTGGCGATGGCCACTTATCAACGCCGAGATTCAGTGACCGTCCAATCGTGCTCTCTCCTCGCCCGAAACCCGCGACCCGCAACCGATGCCCCACAACCCTCCCTCTTCCCGCACGGGCACCCCCACCCCCCTCACCGACCCCTCCGTCCGGCCTCTGGAAAGCACTCCACATTTGGCAGCGGTCAGGGTTGTCATCGCCAATAACGGCTCGCCTCGCTGCCGTAATGGTGCCCTGTCAATTCGGAGCAGTGCAGTGGTGCAAGACTTTGAGATCGATGGTGTGGCCGTGATGTAGTTATGGGGTGCTTTTTTGTGTCCCCATCTGTGTGGTTTTGTTGTTGTTTTGTTTTTCGTCCGCATGATTCGTGGCGTGTTTACGTTACTCGCCCGCTCTTTCTACTGATTTAAAGATTAAAATACACGATGCGATTCCGTCCATTGTAAAGCTGTAAGTAGCATCTGCTACCTATGTCACGATGTTTCTCTTCAGCGATTGAAGTCACAACTTGAATTTGCACGTGAGAATAAAGATTTAAAATCCATGTAAATGCTTTATAACATATCCACTACATTTTTTTATTTACACCAAGGGAGCAAATGAAATAAAAAAATATATAAATGGCACGGTAAAACTAGACAAAAATAATGTGACGGTGCGACCCCTAATTTATAATTGAACCCAGGTCACGTGGTTTAGAGCATTGTTCGCGAACCACCATGCCACCACTCCACCCTGGCAGTTGTACGCAAGCGCATATAAAATATAAAATGAAACCCGCATTCACTATCATTACTGCCTTTAAAGCATAAAAAAGACGCAGACATAATCATAATAATAATCATTTTGATTTATCAGGCGCCATTTACGATGAATCTCAAAGCGCCCAAATCAGCAGGGTTATACGTCAGGCAATGGCTCTTCTTCAGAGCAGAGGGAAGAGCGATTGCCTGACACATTATCCTGCTCTGTATGTTTCTGTTATCAGATAGGGCGCATGATGAATGTGGCGAGTGCTTTTAAGGAAGGAGATATCTTACATTTCAGATCTGGATCGGTCAAAAGTGCTTACGTGCTGGATTTGTTTCATATCGAAACGATTGGTGTTGAGATCGGTCTGCATGTTATGATTTATTGAACCGTCGATTAACACCGATTCTTACACCCGCCGTGCGTGTGTGTAAGGTCTTGCGTGAAGGAATCAAGCCTCTTGCCACTTATGCAAATTGTACACGAACGCTTATCGATGGAATTGGCTAAACGTCTCAAAGCAGGACCCTCCAGAAAAAAAATAGGCGTACCACTCTGCTGGGTATCGCTCTCCCACTGTGGTTCGGTGTTCACCACGAGTTGTACTTCCCCACAACCAGTCAGGTGGCTACACAGCACAGCCAGCAAAATCTGCGCCGTGGCACGGAGCGCTATTTATCACCGTATTACAACAAACTAAACGTACGGCAATGAAGATGACGAATTGTCCGAAGGTGAATCATTGGCAGCCTCGTCCTCCTCCTGTTCCCACAAATCCTAGAACTAGCGGAGCGTAGGCTGAGCATCCTTCACCATGAGCCCGGCACCGTCCCGGAGTTGCTGTCTGCCGAATTTTACTCCGCACCGCCTCGCCTTGTCTCTTTTGACTTAATCTCGCATTCATGTTGTCCGGCCCGCCGTCTGGCCCGTGAGTGTCGTCCCGCGCTGCCCCCACCGCCTCTCTGACGATGTCCGTCTCACCCTGTCCCTCGCCGTCGACTGCGCCGGGCCGCAGGTGACCTCCTGCCAGCGGACGGCGTCCTCATCCAGAGCAACGATCTGAAGATCGACGAGAGCTCGCTCACCGGCGAGTCCGACCACGTGAAGAAGTCGGCCGACAGAGACCCCATGCTGCTGTCGGGTGAGAAATCTCCCCCCCGACCACTCTCGCGGCCTCCTGTGTCTCTTTGGCCTCGGCGGGAATTTTTCCAGGTGGAGCTGATAGGGGCCGGGCGCTTGTTAAGGCGCACGCCTTGAAATCCCCATGCTTTAGGAGGCAGGGTTGATGGATCACGCACACATCCCACGCCTCCGATTTCCTGCACCTCCGATTAGCACTGTTGGCTAAGTACAGTGCGAAATAAGGTCAACATACATACATGCATCTGGGCTTCAGGGTGGCCAGGAGATATCAGTTCAACAGTTGAGATAAGTAACCCAACCTTTGGATGTTATTCTAACATGTATATAGGTGCTCTGACTTTCTTGTACTTTTAAGATATATTAAAGAAATTAGCCAAACATCTCAATGCTGGGTCTGATTGAGGCTTGCCTCACTCAATAGCTAACTTTAACGTGTTATTATTTTCCTTTTCTTAAGCTACAAGGAATCCTAAAGGTGCCTACAAGGACTCGGACGAACCATCGACACACGTACAGACATGTACAGCCTACCCAGCTCGTTCGTACATAGGGCGCAAGCATTGTAGTTGAGACCTTTACCAGGAGACAAATTATTGCGAGAGCGGTAGTTGGAATTATTTTTTCAATATCACGCGGGGTCATTTTTTTGACATCAAAGGGGGCGAATTACAACCCCCTTTGATCTCCGTGTGCAGTGAAGTCATCTGCGACACGCAGACCCAGCCGGCATTTAGCAACCCCGATGGCGGGAGGGGGGGGGGGCAGTGCGTGGGTTGGGGGGATGCAGGGGGTGGGCAGTGCGTGGAGTGGGGGGGGGCAGTGTGTGGGCAGTGGGGGGGGTGCATGGAGGGGGGGGCAGCACAATGATTTCACTTTGGTGCAAAGGGCACAGGGTTCCGACTCTCGGCGCCCGCCCCTCGTTTGTCGGCCGGCGACCCCCCCCCCCCCACTTCCACCATACAAACCGGGTGCAGAACTCAACGTCGCTGCCAAAATGAAAAAAAAAATCGCAAATCTCTCACAGCCGCGAGGTTTTCTGACAGCAACTAAAAAAAAAACCTCTTATCGAAAAAACATGTCCGAGACTTTCCTGTACGTCACTGCCCAGTGAAGCAGCAAATTCAATTGCATTTTAGTTGCTCTTGTTGTTGCTGTGATCGTCCACAGTGGTGGTGGCGTGGCGGCGGCGACGCCGTGCGACGCATTTGTCGGTCGCTGAGACCTGCCATCGCGGCGACGGCAATGCCAGGGCTCTGTGGTTTATTGGGCAAAAATATTTGGGGTCCAGACAGGGCGGAAGTGTGATTTGATATCAATGCCAAGTATGAGCTCACAATGTAATTTCCTCCCTTTAATGATACGTGTTTTTTAAACATATATACCGCAAGCGTTTTTAATGTTCTTTTAGAGGATGAATGTGCACCACTGACTCTGTCACCTGTATGTCCCGACAGCGGTTGTTGTGCTGTGTTAGCTGAGTAAGAAAATGGGTTGCGTTACGTTCCACTGCTGTTTAGGTTTGTTTGGATGATTCTGGCCTTGGTTCCAGTGATGGTCCAAGTCCCAAGAAAACAAAGCAGGAGCACAGGGCCCCAATCAGCTCAATGGTCCCCGGATTCATGGGGGGGGGGGGGGTGGGGGGGGAGAATCCGGGAACCAAATATCTCAGCTTGAATTAAAATCCGAATCACGCACTTATATTGTGTCATCTTCTCTCACGTCTCATCTCATCCCAGCCTTGTCTTGTCTACATGCCTCATCTATGTACATCACTGTCTCATCTCTCTATCCCTCTGCTCTCATCTCGCTCCAGCTCTATCCTTTTGTCCACAGTGATCTCACCGCACTACATTTCAATGCCTTGTCCGTAATCTGTTCCGTCATCTCACTCGGGAGTTAATTCCACGAAAGAGTGGAGCCTCAAACATAATTGCTGCTCAGGTCCCACCCCGATGGGGTAGCGCCAGCTCTGGCTGGCTCTACGTTGAATCGGAGGCTTTTGTATGCATGCATGTATGCATCTTGAACCTCTTTTGCACCGTACGTAGCCAGCCATGCTGTCTGGACATACAGTAGACACGACCGTGATTTTTTTTCTGAATTCGTCTGATCCCCCGAGCCGCCCATCGCACAGCCCCGCACCGTGCCGGCCCAGCGCCGCCAGGGAGAGCTACAAAAATGACGTTCAAAGCGTTTCTACTGAGAGTGCCCCCCCACCCCCCCTGGCACTGCCAACAACAAAGGCAGCCATCCTCCCGAGACACCAGGAAAATGTTGTAATAGTTAAATGATGCAACCGTATTTTGGCACGCCTGATGAAGAGGTGCAGAATGTTGACACGTTCCTGAAAACTCGTGAGAGGGCCGTGGGGGCAACTCAACGGGGATTGTACTTTTCCGAACCAGGTAATGGCGCCAAGAGATGGCCTTACACAGCACCTTACACGATAGCAACAGCAGCAACTGCCACTTGTGGCTTGTTCGCAGGAACTTGCGCGTTCTTACACATGCTTGTAGATACTTGCTTGTATTTGCGGGCACTTCGGTGCTTGCAGGTCCTTGTGAGCACTTAGTGGCATTTGCGGGTATGTAGGGTACTTGCTGATACTCCCACTGGGATTTTTGCACACAGCATTCATGTACGGTGCTTTTTATGGACGACTTTGCTGTTTTTTCGTGGATTTTTCTGTTGCGTGTAGTCACATTAAGGTGTTTCTTGTTCATGGTTTTGTTTGTTGCGGTTGCACCCAATTCAAGAGCCGAATGGCTCACAGGGCTATACCTAATAAATGAAACTGAAAAACTGAAAACGTAGGGGTACTTGCAGGCCCTTGCGGGTGTTTGGTGTTACTTGGCAGGTGCTTGTGAACAATTTCAGGTGCTCAGCAGTTACTCATGGTACTTGTGGCTCTTCCGGGTAGTTGCGCACACCATCTGGGACTTGAGGGTTACTTGAAGGTACCTCTGGCACTTTGGTGGGGGCGGGGGGGGGGGGTAATAGTTGGAAGCACCTGCGGGTGACCACAGTTGAACACTGGCTGTGGGCGCCGTGTCCCGCTGGCAGGCACGCATGTGATGGAGGGCTCGGGCCGCATGGTGGTGGCCGCCGTGGGCATGAACTCTCAAACCGGCATCATCCTCACGCTCATGGGGGCGAGCGCCATGGAGGACGAGGCGTCGCCCAAGAAGGACAAGAAAGGTGAGGCCCACGTGTGTCTGTACGTGGGAGCGGGCGTGCGACATCGCGCCCTCAAAGCACACCCAGCCTGGCACGAGCGCTGCGGTGACGTCGCCCTCGCTGAGGTGTGTGCGCGACGACCGTCATCGGCACTCGCTTAACAGCACTTGCCCCAGTGACCCGTTTGGGCTATACGGAGATCTTTGTCTCTGTGTGTGTGTGTTGAGCGTACGAGCATTTAGGGATCCTTGTTCGATTCCCACTCATGGTAGACGTCAGTGGAGAATGGATTATTGTATCGACCCTGGAGGGATGATGTTCTGAGTCAACCCTCAGTCAGAATTTGAAATCGCAACTTTCTGATTGCAAGCCATTTTCTCTGCAGGTATAAAGTAGGGTGGGGGACTCTGGTTTTCAAGTGGGGCAAAGTCACCTAAATTCCTGCTAAGGGGACACCACCTAACGCTGGGAGGGAGTAGGGAGAGCTCCAAAACACAGGTTGGAACCCAGAATCCGGACAGTGCCGGCGCCGCGCAACGAGTCCCAATCAGTACGCGGATCCTTGAAGTCCCGTGCATTGAAAGTGTTTGACGCATGCACGGCACGCCGCCCGCCGCTCTCACCCTGTGCCGTGTGTGTGTGTCGCTCAGCTCCCAAGGCGACCAATAAGAGTGGAGGTCGCCCCGACAGCAAGGGGCATTCGGCCCACGCAGGTAACCCACACACACGCTCGCCGACGGCGGTTTTAACCGCTGCCCACTCATCCCCGATATCTGATGCAGGAGCCACAGCGGTGCGGTTAATCCTTTAAACTTCACATTGATTCTCCGTGAGCGGCTCCGCATCGTCGGCGGAGATTGTCCAGAGAGTAATCGCCCGCATCGCTCCGCGGGCTGCACTTCGGAATGAGCGATTGTGCAGCTCTCCGATGGGATTTGTGGGTTGTGCCGAGCCTTGCTGCTGATTATAGAGCGATGCTGTTATACATTTTATCTGGCACAGTGGTAACACTCGTGCCCCGCAACAAGAGGGGCCTTATTCATATTCTTAGTTTTTTCGGTAAAGTCACGTTGAAGAGAAACAACAAAGTAATAAAATATATATAAAATAATAAAAAATTCTCACGAATTTTGTTATATATATATTTTATTATTTTGTTGTTTCTCTTCAACGTGACTTTACCGAAAAAACTAAGAATATGAATTACTGCAGTCACGAAAGCTTTAAATCAAAAGAGGGGCCTTGTTCGATTCCCAACTCGGGCGCCTGCCTTTCTGTGTGGGGTTTGTATGTTCTCTCCCTGTTCTGCATGGGTTTGCTCTGAGTTCTCTGAATTCTTCTCATAGCTAAATAAATTAATACAGTGTAACTGGTATTGGACTCAACATCTAATGGTTTAAAAAATACCTGCAAATTACTCAATAGGCATTACACATAGCAACACCGTTCCCCTGCGGCGAAAACTTGGCAGGACCCTCTTGAAAGAGAGTCTTGAGACACAGTGAGGCCGTCCTGGGTAAACGAGTGTAATCATCTTGAGATAAATAACAATGCCATAAATAATGCGATATAATCAAGGGAGAAAGTGAGCCCACTCCATTCGGTTCCCGAGGGATGTCTCACCACGTAACGTCGGACATCGTGCCGAGCAATGCGCGGCTCAACCCGAAGATGTGTGGGAGAGCCGCGAACAGCACGACCGTGATGTCATTCCCCGGTAATTGTGCAATCTGGAGAGCCTGGGTGTGGACAGAAGGTTGAGAAAATGAACACTCGTGACGAAACCTCCAGGCTGATGAGGACGACAGTCTCCCAACTGTAGCCGACACGTCTCGTTCATGAACAGTACCGGCTGGTGCGCCCCAAGCTTGTCGCCATCATCTCACGTCTGGTTCGTCGCGTGAGGAGGAACGCAGGCTCCGGTTTATGCGGAACGGTCTCGGCCCACCTCAGTTCTTCCGCCCAAAATGCTCACGATCCCAGCGCTCGGTAGTGGGGTGCTGGAACCGTGGTTGTATGTATGTACGTTGACCTTCTTGTGCACCGTACATTGCCAGCCGACCGTGCTCATCGGAGGTGCGGGAGAAGGACAACAAACGAAACACACAAATGACAGTTGTCAAGAATTGAGTTTTCAATCTTGATTTGAAAGTGCACGGGTCCAGTTGAGGTGACTTCCCCTGGTGCGGTGAGGAATAATGTTTAACACTGTCATTGCTTCGCGTCGTTGTTTTACCAAAAAACATTTCGGTGTTCCGTCTAAATCCCGACCGCCGTGATGAATGCCTTCTCATCATCTTTATTAGAATGTTTATTTAGACTGCAGCAGGAATCCGATGAGCTATGAAGCTCTTTTTCACAGATGTCCTGTTGGTACGGGGTCAGCAATTTACAACAGCAGACAATACAAAAACATGATAGCAGTACAAAATTTACAAAAATGGTAAGCGAGTCACTCAATAAATAAATAATAGAAACATGAATTATATATGTCCGATTCATCATGATTGGGCAAGGCGGACAAAACAAGAACAAAAGAGTCCCCAGACCACACAAAGATAATACAGCAGGAGGCCCTCAATAAAACGGCATATTAACATTTAACTATCGACACACAGCAGGTAATGATCAAAGTCACAAATCACATTTGCCAATGTGACCGTCTAATTGCTTCAGTGCGCGTGATTGCCCTCAACCGGCGTTCCCGCACGGAGCCGTGGCGTCGCGCGCTCCGAACTCAGCGTCCAACGCTTTTTTGTTAAAATGGCTTCGAGCGCAGCTTGAAATCTCGGCAGAGTTACTCAACTATAAACCAAACTAAATTATGTTTATCTATTTTTTATTTGACCAGGTAAGGCCCACCGAGCAATGTAGCTCTCTTTCAGGAGCGACCTGGTCACAAATTACAGCGCCACGAAGTTGGATTTTTATAGCAGCCAAATACTCTGAATGCGTGACGTTGATTCTGAATGTGGAGGGAAAAACCGGTGGCCCTGGAGAAAAATCCACGCGACCACGGGGAGAACATACAAACTCCAAATTTGCAGTAGGCGTCAGGGTCGGGATCGAAACCACAACCTCCTGTATACCAAGCGAGGTAGTTAAGATCTCGCCACCACAGGCCTGTAATGTTTCTGGGGGGTGGAGGTTGATGTTGTTTGTTCGTTGTCGGACGTGTCGGAGCTGCTGATGGTGATTCCGAGTCGTTGTGTGCTTAGGCAAGAAGCCAGCTGGAGAGACGGGCCACGTGGAGCAAGGTACGACCAGCAGGGACGCCTCACGTTTCACGAGAACTCCACAGCGCACGGCGACCTTGAGGGGCCCCGTGCACTATGGCCACGCAGACTTCATCCCATTCTATCACTGACTACCATTCTATCACTCACTGCCATTCTATCACTGACTACCATTCTATCACTTACTATAACATTCTATCACTGATTACCATTCTATCACTCACTGCCATTCTATCACTGACTACCATTCTATCACTTACTATACCATTCTATCACTTACTATAACATTCTATCACTGATTACCATTCTATCACTCACTGCCATTCTATCACTTACTATAACATTCTATCACTTACTATACCATTCTATCACTGACTACCATTCTATCACTTACTATAACATTTTATCACTACCATTCTATCACTCACTGCCATTATATCACTTACTATACCATTCTATCACTTACTATAACATTCTATCACTCACTGCCATTCTATCACTTACTACACCATTCTATCACTGACTACCATTCTATCACTTGTCCTTCCCCCGCACCTCCGATGAGCACGGTTGGCTACGTACGGTGCGAAATGAGTTCTACACACACTTAATACCATTCTTTGGCTTAAACCCATTGTATCATTTGTTTTAAATGAGGATAAACTTACCGAGAGAAAAAAATTGCTTGCGAGCTGGAAACAGAGAAGAGTAGCAACAGCCATAGAAATGCACGCAAAAGGTGATTTTAGATAGCAAGAAGGTGAGATTGTGATCGTTTGATTGGTCCTCGTTCCGTGCCTTGCGCGTATCACGTGATATCAACACACTTGTTTGCTTGAGACCACCGACTCATAATATTCAACATTGCCGCCGTTTGCTTCCATCTAGCAAACTCCAGACTTTCTCGAAACATAAAAAAAAATATTTTATGCGTAATCAAAAAAAGGTCTGCATGCACGATCAATTTAACGTGAGATTTGTCAGAAAGCGAATCGTTTATCTTAAATCAATGGGTGCAATGCATTATGCATACGTGTATAGTATACTCTTTCGCGTCAGCTTCGGATTCATAAAGTAAGAAGGTACGAAGGCTCGCACACACGAGAGGGCGGGCAGGGGGGGGATCATTCAGCTCGTTCGGTCGCATCACAGCGATCCGAGAAGAGAGTCCCAGGGAGAATCGGTGTCCACCTCCTGCTGTGTGGGCAGCCGTCCGTCCGAGACTCCCGCCACCGTTCCCCGCGTGTCAGGCGCGGTCGCCTCCCTCCTGGCCTCGCTGGTCAACTTTCCTGCGCGCGGCTACCACCCGTCGCCTCTGCTTCTCGTCTCTGCGTTGATGTCCGTGGTTTCATTAAGTTGGGTGCAATTTTCTGCCAGAAGCAAGGCAAATGTGGAACAGCAGCAGCAGCAACAACAACAACAACCGCTGTTCGCCACTGAAGTAGTTGTGACTTCACCACGGCGCTTGTGCCATGCTAGGTGCACAGTTGTGGAAGTACACACACAGGTACAAAGACAGAGACGAGGTACTCCCATATAGCCTTCAACACTGTTGGGGCAAGTGCTGTTTGCGAGTCGCACCTATGAAGGCCGACACAGCACACGAGTGGGTGGGTAGCCAGCACCACGTCCGGCCGCCTTTGCCTCCCTAGTAGCGATATTTACACACGGCACCAGGTGCTCGATTGAGGCTGAGTCGACCTAGAGGAGTCCCAGTACCGGTTCAGACAATCGTCCCTGGTATTGACAGTGAGCTGGAATCGAACCCGGGTCGCCGGCTACACTGCCGCTGCCCCGACACTTGTTCACACGCTCACACCCACGCAGCGCTCATTAGAATCCAGGCTTCGACCCCGGTCCTCCCCTGGCACAACCTCTAAACGACCTCCATCCCCAATCCTCGCTTTTGACAGCAGCAGCATCAGCAGTCAATCTGCGGCAGCTAAGAGTCGCGGGGCCGCGCCCTCGACCACCTCCATGCACCGCGTGTCCTAACAGAGACATCCTTGGTGGGTCAACCGATAGATATAATCGAGCCAGTTAAACCACAATCCACTGCTGGTGCCACCCCCTCCCCCCACGTGTCATTCCACATTCTGAGCCGAACTCAGGGGGCAAGGTGAGAGACTTCAGCCAATTACAGCGTGGTCGACGGCTCAAACATTGTCACCGCCAAGACCGCATTCTCAGTCAAATGTTCGTCGTTGATAAACTCACCTCGGCCTCCCCCCCCCCCCACACAGTGCCCAGTCAACCCACGTTCAGTGGGAAGGTCGCTCCTTCTCCACTGCTGCTGCTGCTCTTGCATTATGTAACCCTCCCCCTCCTGGGACGCCTGTGCTGCCAGATTGAAGTCTCCGCTTTAGAACCTTCCCCCCTCTGCGCACTGCCTGTGACTCTTTCTGAGCGATGTGTAAATGCCTTCTATCGATGTCTCCATATCCCCATGATGCAGATTCAGAGGTCAGGTTCAGCCAAGTCCGTTTGTGCTCAGCGACCCATACATTATTTCTCGCACCTCCGATTAGCACGGTTGGCTACGTACGGTGCGAAATAAGTTAAACGTACACACGTACTTTTCCACACCCGGCACACTACGTCCAGTATACGACTCTCTACCGTTCACTTGCCTGCTCCGACCAGCGACCCAGAAAAAGTTAGGCGAAAAAATGAAGCCCCCTGTTGCACGTGCCACCGTCTTGAGATGAAATTTGCTTTTAGACACCGTTTAATCCAAACCTGTAGCATGCAATTGTCGCTCCGTGCAGAATATTAACATCGTCATTATTATTATTCTTTTATATAGACATACTTTTGCCAGCGCACTTAACATTTTCCAATTCGCATTGTTACCCCAAGTGCCATTGCAGAGAAGTGTTGATGCCATGGGGGTACTAACGTGTAGTAGGAGTGATAATAATGTAAGGTGCGCAATTCATTCATAGATCCCAATGTGCGCCTTGTATGGAAATGAGTTAATAAAGAGAGCCTGCAGGGTGAAGGGCCAGAACTAGCGGGAGGTCAAGGCCACTTTACAAAGGTGAGGTTTTAAGACAAGACTCAAATATAGCAAACGATTCCGAGTGTCTCACATGCATGCAGCGCTGCTGCTGAACCCTGAGCGGGATCGTGGTTATAAAATAAAAACGAGCAGGAACCCCACTCCCGTGCCAACCGTCGTTTGTTAAGCTTTGGAGAAATAGCAACAACGAAATGCGTCGCTACCTTGGGTCAGACCGGAGCGAGTTTGCAGTGAAGGCCGCGCATGTGTTCTACGTTATGTACTCTACAGTCCTACTAAAGGACACCCGAGTCCGAATGCGGATTTCCGCTATCATATCGAGGCCGCTCGCGTTATTGGGACGCGTGATTTGTGTTGTTCCCACGTGGATTTTTTTTCTTCCCGTAAAGACTGAACAAAAATAAAAAGGCACCATGGGAAAGTTGACAATCTGAGACTACAGCACATTTATTCATAATCATCTGCACAGGAACCCGAAATGCAGCAATATTTTTTTTATAAAACAATTAACGGTTATTTTAGCAGTCTTTTGCTGATTAACATTCTAAAGTTAACTTTGCAGCTTTGTTGCTTTTTAAACTAAACGACGCGACCGTTTTATGTTTAACAGCTTAAAAATGCTCCATATTTTACACGCTCCTAAATCCTCATTCCCCCCTCTCCCTCTCCACGTGCTCCTTCTCTCCCCCCTCTCTCTTCTCTCCACGTTGTCGTGTCTCCGGACCCCAAGGGAAACCATCCACCAATGACGTGGATATGGAGCTGGAACCCCTGAGGGACGTTGAGGCCGCCGTGGAGGATGGCGGCGGCGGTGCACGCAAGAAGAAGTCTTTCACCCCCAAAAAGGAGAAATCTGTGCTGCAGGGAAAGCTCACGAAACTGGCTGTCCAGATTGGCAAGGCCGGTGAGTGGCAATTCAGGGAAAGCTCACAAAACTGGCCGTGCAGAGTGGCAAGGCTGATGATTGACAATTCAGGGAAAGCTCATGAAACTGGCTGCCCAGATTGGCAAATCCGGTGAGTGCTGCGTGCCACCGAGGCTGTCACTCAGTGTCACTTCGGCGCGTTCTGCCCAGCTGGAAATGAAGCAGGCGGAACGTTGTGCTGCATCACACGCAAGGGAGCGTGAGAGAATGTTTGCAGGGTTGAAGACCTCGGCTGGTGCTGTGTCTTCGGAATGCAGCTCAGTCTTTATGGCGCGTCACGTCTTATTTGTTTACTTACTAGTGCCCCTTCGGTGATTTATTTTTTCGGGTGGGACGTGATGGCGAGCGTGCTGTGTGACCCTGAGTCATATTCCAGGGTCTATCAATAGACAGACGCAGTCCCTTGCACATTCAACGTGGCAAGAGTTCATTCTCACAGCGCACTGCTTTATAAAACCGATTATCTGAGTTCATTTCCCAGCCACTGCAAACGTCAGTGACGAGTGCCGGTCCTCTGAGCCATTCCTTCACTAACCTGCTCTACCAACCAGCGTGGTGAAGTATGGTCAAACAACCCCTCCATGACCAACATGGCGTGGGCAGTCCTTCAACCAGCAGTGGATACAAAAAGCGCTGTCTGTAATGTGAACGAAAGACATAATCGCTTAATCTGGCGACTACCAGGCTAGATGGGGCTCAACGCATTGCTCTCTGGGAGTTTTTTTTTGCATGGCATGTGCCTCTTAAAGGCCTGCGCACCGCGTGTGTGTCGTTCTCGTGCGTACGCTTCGTCAGGCCTGGTGGTGTCGACTATCACGGTCATCATCCTGGTGCTCTACTTCGTGATCGACACGTTCGTGGTGCAGGGCCGCCCGTGGCAGTCCGAGTGCTCGCACGTCTACGTGCAGTACTTCGTCAAGTTCTTCATCATCGGCGTCACCGTGCTCGTCGTGGCCGTGCCCGAGGGGCTGCCCCTGGCCGTCACCATCGCGCTGGCCTACTCCGTCAAGGTGCGATCGCATGCCCCCCCCCCCCGTGTCTGGACCGGTTCCGGCTCCTCACCAATTAAGGGGAGCGGGCGGCCAGTAGAGATGTCACGTGGGGGAGGGTTACCATAACGGTCATTCACCGTGCTAAGCAGCATGAACTTATCCATGATCGAGTTTTTTTTTGGGTTAGATGCCGTAAATGTGAACATCTCGTTAAACCCGCCACCACCCGACACGGCTAATTAGTAAGGTTTGTCACGTAAGCAAAACGTGCCAATGTTTGAGATGACAATTGGCTGTGCCAAATGCACGTTTGACGGTACAGGGCAACACCCCGGCACCCACGCCTGGCGCCCGGCCTGGTGCTGCTTACGCCAGCGTGGGACCATGGGCTTGCGCTCACGCCGTGTGTCGGGGGGGAGGTGGGAAGGCGCTGAGATTGTTGGGGCAAAGCCCAAGCTTAGAAAAAAACTGGGAAGAAGAAAAAACCAGGCACGTGTGTAGCGGACGCCTCTTTGTCCGCTCCTGGTGATATTTTGAGTGAATGATGTTTTGAATTCAGTAGCAGAGGGGGTTGTTGTTGCTCGTTCAGGTCGCCTCTGCCAGTCCGTCTCTTACCTGCGTTTGTCCCCAGAAGTAATTATTTAGTGGCGACGGAAGCCGGTGGGTTACCTGTCGGCATATTCACAAATAGTCCTTGCAGCGCTGGCTTGTGTCTGCAAGTGGCCCATTGATTGATTTGTCCGGTTTTCTTTCGGGTAAGTCCCTAATAACAAAGTATCGGATCATCTTCATGAGGCGTCATCCTGACCCCGTGTTGCAGGCAGACGATCTGAGCTGATGCATTAACACTTTCAACCGTGAAAACTTGACCCCTCCTCCCCCCTCCCTGTACGCACGCGGACTTGTTACACCCCCCCCCCCCACCTGCGTACGTTCGCTTGACGCACCCCCCCCCCCCCCCCGAATTGTATAGAACGACCGATATGTAATCCACGCAGAAATTATCAAGGAATCATAATATTAACGTGTTTAAGTAAAAAGGAGAGTCCACCGCTGGACTATCAAACTCATTTGAAGGCCAATGTAGACAAATTATTATCGAGGTTTCACCCCCCTCCCCCCCCCCCGTGTCCTATGCGTACATTGTCAGCAGACCCCCCCATACGCAAGCGTACGCGTTTGGGTTAACCCCCCCTCCCCCCTCCATGCGTACGTACTAAATGGATGGACCCTAACGAGTAAAAAGCAATTAACGTGACGAGGTGGCCGGGTGGCGTTGGTCTGGAACTGCTGAGAACCTGGGTTCGAATCCAGGCAGACGCTGGTCATGAATTTAGCTTCTCAGGTGTAGTGAGTTTATGGTCTCAGCCTGGTTATCATTGACTGCAAAACAAAAAAAAAACATTCAGTAACTATGTATTTCTGCTATTCATTTGGCTAAATTCCGGTTCTTGAGACTTAGAAACGATCAGTTTTACTGTCATGCCATGAACATTACTCTCAGTGGCAAAGACGAGTGAGAGAGTGCCGCCCGCCATCGTGTGGGACGATAGGTAACTTGAAGGGATCTCTGAGGTGGTTTTGTCATATCCACTTCTGCGGGCCGTTCTGGATTTCTCTACGAGAGATCTGCATGGGGTCTTTGTCCCAATGCGCGATGCCGATATCACAATGGGGGGCCAAAAAGAAAACAAACGTAGAAATATTCTTGGCTCTTTCGGTAATGTCACGTAGAATGGAAACAATAAAATAATAAAAAAACGCCACTTTTTAAAATGTTCTTGCTGTGATTTTCACACCTGATGATGATTGCTTGTGTTGCAGTCGAAACGTCGTGATATTTTTTATTGTTTTAGATATATTTATTATTTTATTATTTCCCTTCTACGTGACTTTACCGAAAGAACCAAGAATACGATTCGCTGCAGTCACGAAAGCTTTAAATCAAAATATAGAAATAATAAAAAAAATTAAGATGTTCGTGTGAAATGTGTTTTTGGTCACAAGTTACTGTTGAATGTGCATCGGGCTGTGGAGGCTTGGCACAAGAATACGATTGGCTGGCTGATGAATATTTTAAAAAATAATTCTCATTAATTTCGCAGCTCGTGGATATTCTTAGTAACCGAACAGACATTATTACCTCATCAGAACATTTTGTGACCCGCGGTTATTACATTAAGAACACCAATGTTGCGAAACATTCGCGTTCGGAGCGAGTAATTGGACAGACGGCCGCCACTTAATTCCTTCTCGCGAGAAAATAAAAGAGGGAAAAGACGAATGAAACAAACCCCTCGTGAAATGCGTGCAGCGCGGGGGGGGGGGGGGGGGGGGGGGTGGCGGCGTTGCCTAATTGTCGAGTAATTTCTGAATTCTATGCAAACTCCCTCGCGCAGGAATGTAATTACCTGCCGCGTGTTCTCAAGGAACACGCGGCGGGGGGAAGAAGTTGAAATTGACGCAATAAGCGCGGGGTCACGGAGTAAGCTACCCCCCCTCCCCCCCACCTCGTGCGGGTGGTGGTGCTTGCTCAGAAGCCGGCAACGGAAATAACAAGAGGAGACTTTTTTTTATTCGGGGAAAAAAAAAACCTCCTCAGGATTCACCAAGAGCCGCAATGCACCGCGTGGCGAATACTTGACGGTGGTCCTTAACAAATAACGTGACGAAGTGGCCCTTAAACAGCTGCACGCAGCTCCGAAGCCGCAGGTCGTGACCTCTGTGCTCGCTTATTTTTTGCCCTCGGTAGAGATGAGTTATTTTTTTTGGGGGGGGGGGTCCAGGCTCCCCATCCACACCCCCCTTTTAGCAATTTATAATCTCCTAGCGAGATGACGGGAGAGGTCTACAGTTGGAACAGAAAGATTGTGAAACGAGATATATATACACGTGAGGTATAGATGTTGTGAGATTAGAGAATTGTAGACGAAACGAGATATTAACGCAGAGGGATGCAGACAAAATTAAGAGATGAGAAAGATATAGCAATTGGCTTTTTCAGCTAATTATGTTTATTATGATTTGAATGCGATTTTATATTTCATGCAGCACTATTTTATTAATTAATAAAGAGGCCTCTTGAGCTCCTTGGAGGGGGTCGAAGCTTTTACTTTTCCTTCTTAACCCGAGCGCTGCCGATGCCGCCACGTCATCGATTGGCCTCCCGGAGGTGCCTAGGAGACCCCCCCCCTCACCCCCTCCCCCCCTCTCCCGGCTTCCAGCACCTCGTGAAGTCTCTCATACATCTCCCGTGTATCGAGCCACGGCCCCTTTCATTCTCGCTCTTCAGGGTCGTCCGCCGCGGTGTGTGCGGGTGGGCGCGGGAGGTCCCGACTCGCTCTCGGGAGCTTTGGGGGTTGCGCGATCGCCGCGGCGTTTCTGAGTTTTGCACGGATTCGTTTTTGAGTGGCGGCTCGCGCGGACAGCGCCGAGCGTCCTCGTGTAAGCGCGGAGATGAGGAACCCCCTTCCGTGGGGACGTCGTGGACAAGCGAGGAACGCGCGGGAAAGCAGAGTGCGTAAAATTGCGCTGCTATCGTTACGATCGACGCGTGCCGGCAGAAAGCAGCGGGTCAACGAGGGCGAATTTTTTTTTTTTCATAACTAGAAATGATATTGTTTTCTGTGTGAATCTACTGCGTTGTTGTTATTATTGCAGCTGATGTGGCACCGTGGCGGTTGTTCATCGTCTGTGTAAACGTGGGGTTTGGCGACGAACGTTGAATTAGAGATTTAATTTTGACGAGCTGAGCTCACGGCACACAAATAGAATCGCGTGCGTAAGATCCGATATTTGTAAATTCGTGTTTAGCCCCCCCCCTTCACCAACCCGTACTGAGCAGCATGGTGAAGTATGGTCAAACAACCCCCATGACTAGAAATGTCTTGCGGGAGGCCTTCATCCAGCAGTGGATTTACAAAGGCTTTGATAAAAAAAAATCATGTCTTATGTGATGGGTCCCCATGGCCCCTGCAGCCGTTATAAGCTGTAGGGGCCACTTCACCATAATTTAAATAAAAAATCATATTTAATATCTAATTTGGACTCTGAGATAATTTATTGAATCCAGGTGTCCACACGTGTCCTCTACATTGCAGGTCGACCGTCACGGCACCAATGTAAATTACATTTCTCACTCCTGCCGTCGATGACTTGCAGATTACGATTGACAACTACAACCTTTTTCGGCTTGACCGAGGATCTAAAGGAGGTGGAATTGCCATCTATGTTCGCAACACTATTGCATGTTCACCAGCTCACTCCTTGTTTAAAAAGTGTTGCTTTGAAGGTTTGGCTCTCAGAATAACTCTCCCAAATAATCAACAGATATTGGTAGTGTGCTGCTATAGACCGCCTAGTGGAAAGGATGTTGAAGCTGCATCTGCACTGAGAGAGCTTTTTGGGGGCCTCCCTAAAGGTGAAATAGTTTTAGTGGGTGATCTAAATTGGAATTGGCTAAACCCACCGGCCGTGGCCACACATTTTGCAGATTAATTTAACCTGTTTCAATTAATAAATGTTCCCACAAGACCCAACTTAAAAAATCCGGGAGAGTCATCTCTGCTTGACGTCCTATTGACAAATGCCCCTCACAATTTCACACTGACTGGTGTTCTGGGTAATAACCTTAGTGATCACTCCTTCATTTTTGGGGTGAGATCATCAGCCAGAACCAAAGCCCCCCTAAATTGGTTGAGAAGCACTCTATGAGACACTTCAGCACTCAGGCATTTACTAATGATGTGCTTCACTCGGATATTGACAAGGTCTGTGATATCCCCAACCTGACTACGGCTTGGGAGACCTTCAGGTACACGTTTCTCCAAATTCTTAACAAACATGCTCCGTTGGTTAGATTTAAAACTAAAGGCAACCGCCCACCATGGTTGATCCTTTGATTACAAAGCTCATGAAAACTAGGGACAAGGCTTGGGCATGTGCTCAGAAAAGTAATTTGGTCAATGACTGACTAGAATACAGGATTTTAAGGAATATATGCGTCAAAAAAATCAGGC